AACAGCAGTGCATGCAGATCATCGTATCTGCCCATAAACAGGTGTAACACAGTGTTTCTTATTTACTTGGGTATCCATAAACATATGATATTAATTATTCCCCGAGGCAGAGGTTTATCCTTTCCATGATGTGTATCTTACAGCCACACGCAGGGCAGACTGTGGGTGACACAGATACTAATTAGCAAAGTGGCTTATTGAGGAAAACTGTTAGGTGAAGCAGACCAGGATACCTTGTCTTCCTGTTCACAGAGTTCATTAAAGATTGATTTAATCTTGAATTTCTACATTGAAATGGCAGAAGTATTTCTAAGCATGAAAAGGGCTGTAGGACTAAACTGAGTAGGAATTGAGTTGATTTTCTTTTGAGGGTTTCCTGTGAGAAGTTCGAATTTTCTTGAGCTTTCAGAAATTAAACAAGAAGGGACTGAGGTAAAGTTAAAAGATAGGCGAACTGTGGAGAAAAATTAAGCAGATCAGCAGAGTAGCAGAGAAATTTGAGAGACTCTTTTTTTTCTCCATCTTATCTTTCTGCTGTCCAAAAAAAAAAAAAAAAGGCTTCAGAAAACTATTGCCAGTTCAAACCAGTGCAGAGGACCCGGGAACACGTGTCGCAGTGCCAAAATCTCATCCCAGCTTGGTGTGCTACTGCTAGTCTTGGCAAAATGTTCACACGCGCCAGCAAAGGAAGTTGTGAGGCAGAACAGTACCCCTGAAAGGGATGTTGTAGGAAGGGCTCCTCACTTTCCAAGCCCTGTTTACTCCAGGTGTCTTAGTCTGGTGAAGAAGTGCAAAAGATTCTCTTTTCTCTGGAGTATGAGATGTTGGGAGAGATACAGCACATCCTACCCGAGCGGGTTGTTCCTGGTTTTCAGCTGCGTCTTTGCTGTAGTGTGTCTCAATGGCGGTACCCTGAAGCGAAAGCAGATTGTGAGAGTGACATCCCGGGCAGTTTCTAGTACGTTTATTTTAAAAGACTGTATTTTTCAAGTAATGTTTTTATCTTTCCTCCTGCCACTTTGAACATGTCATAAAAGTTCAGGTTTGTCTTAATAAAACCCCATTGTGCATATACAATATTTTCAGGCTTTAGGGATTATTGGGTCAAAAGTCTTCGTTGACACACGTTTGGCACTCGGACTTGATGACTCAGAATGCGAATTATACACTTGTGCAGCTCTTTTGTTTTAGCTTCTCCTCATTTCTTTCTTTTCTCTCTCCTCTCTCTGTAGATCTTCAGTGTGAGGCTGTTGTGACACTGACACTTGTAACGCTGACACGTTTCTGTTAGCGAATGCTCCTATAAATTAACCTTTTCATCAGGACATTGGTAAAATATTCATTAGGCTGACTGGCTGTGGGGAGTATATGACTACAGAGATGGGGCAAGACTGGTAGAGGAAGGTGAAGTCCTGACTCAGTGGTAGGGGGTGGCTTTTTGTGCAGGCAAGATAAAGAAGGGCTTCTGCCCACAAGGGGTTTTTTGGGCTTTTTTTTTTTTTTTCCTTGGTTATACTTGCTCTTATTTGTCTTGACACATCTTGTCCCACTGCAGGCACAAAAAAAATTCCCAGGTATCTTGTGAAAACCTGGATCCTGTTATTCATATGGTGTGTTTATAATTACACTGGAATGCCCTTTGGCAACAGATATGCTTGTTACTCTACAGGTCTGAGGAAGGAGCTGCAGCTTGTGCTCAAGCTGGGCGTGGGGGGAAGAAAAAAGTGGGTTTAGATGTTAGTTCGTCAGGTCTGTCTGGAAAATTAGGGACAGTTGTGGAATGAGGTGGTTTAATCTTAACACTGTGAAACTGAGAGGTTATGGAGAGACAAACTCTTACTTTGAGTGCATAGTTTATAAATCTTGCTGTTTTGCAGATTCTTCTTCCTTTTGAGCTGTAATAGGGAGTCACCAGGCAAACCCGGATGTTCCATAAAGAAGGATTCTGCCTTTGGGTTTGTGAAGTACGACATGCCTGAGAAATACTTGTTACAGCGAATGAGTCTGCGAACTTAAACATTGGTGTTGGTTTCAAAATCGCCAGCGTGAAAAAGGTAGCTTGGTAGGTGTGACTTAAACCAGTGAGCAGATGCGTGTTCAGAAAAGTGTAACAGAAGTAGTTAAGTGATGGTAATTCCTTGCTGGCAGTGTGTGGCAGTAAATTGACCTTGGGAATAGTTGCTGCAGTTAAGATTTCTGTGGAATCATAAAATAATTTAGATTAAAAGGGACCTCTGGAGGTCACCTTGTCCAATCCTCTCCTCAAAGCAAGGCTCAAGTTTTAGTCAAGTCAGGTTGCTCACGGTCATCTGCTGTTCAGTTGTGAATCTCTCTAAGAGTGGAGATCCTACTATCTGGGTAGTGGGTTTTTTGGTGCTTAACTGCTATTGCTATGCAGAATTCTTTCTCTGTGGGATGCAGTGCAAAACTTGCACATCTGAAAAGCTGTTCTGGGGCCAAAACTGTAAAATGCCACAGAGGTTTTGGGTGTGAGTTTTCCTTAACGGACACCTAAAGGAGATAACGTGTCATCTTGATATTTTTCTGACGGACAACAGGATTGATCATTCACTTCATATTCCACCTGCGAGGTAGTAACTGGTCAAAGCAGTTGGACCGTGGCTGCTCAGTGGACTGGTGAGCGTGAGCCAGCCGTGCCCAGCTCAGGTGAAGCCACCTCGCGTGGCAGGGCGGGACGCCCTGCGGAAGGACAGCTGTCACTTGCAGTTCCACTGGATGAAGCCATTTCTTGCGGAGTTAGAGAAGCTGCGTTAGGGCGCTGGGTCAGACTTCCTTAAAAGCAATGAACTCCCCTGCTGCCATCCTTTTTCCTTCCTGTTTCTGGGACTGGAACTACCTCCGTGGCCTCCATTGTTGTGACTTGGCTCTTTGCTTGTGTTGGTGTCCGTCCGCTTCTGTGCACCTAGAAATGTTTGCGGGTTTTTTTTTCATTTGCTCTTTGGTCACCCGCATGCTTGACTGGGTAATTGGAGTCCTGTGCTCTATCTGTAGCCTGGGGCTTACTCTTGATTTTTTTATTCACCGCCCTCCTAATTTCTGGAAGCATCTGTATTTTTTTCCCTAAGCCTGCTAGTGTAGGAAGCCTACTGCTTAGGAATAGTTTCATGCAAAGTTTTGAGGTTTTTTTAATTGATTTTTTTTTTTTTTTTCCCCCCAATCTTTAGGTCCCAAAGAATTATTTCTGCATCTTTTTTTTTTTTTTTTCTGAGGGGATGATGTTTCTTCTTTCCTTGATGCTTCAGGTTTTGAATTCTAGAATAATGCCAAAACTTTGTATGAATCACCGTGAGCTTTCTTAACCATTTGTTCTCTTCTTTACTACTTCTTCAAACAAAAGAAGGCTTCCTGAATAATAAATCAATTGAATGTGTAGATTTTTAGATTTTTCAGGTTTCCTCTCTTATGGGAGGAAACTGACCCAAACTGAGTGTCTTCAGGCCAGGATTTTTTTATAGAGCTGTAAGCAGTGTCCCACGAAATGAAATAAAAATATTTGGCATCCTGTAATGGCACATGTGTACTTCTTTGCTGTTGTTGTGGTATATCCTGTAGGAAAGAAGAATATAAAGGTGTACGCTTTCCTAGCCAACTGTTTCATAACATCAGAACATGATTTCTGGCTGGTGGTCTAGATAATAGAGGAAGCAGTGAGCCTTTTGAGCCAAGCTAAAAGGAAATCACCCTTTCCTTTTATTTTTTTTTAATTTTTTTTTTTTAAAGCTGTGACTGTTGAAATGAAGAAATGGGGCAGCACAGTGAAACCTGGGGCCACAGCGTCTATTACTTGTTTAGTATTTTCTGAGAGCAGGGGAGTTCCTTTAGTCATGAGCTGATGTGTAATTTCTCAAGGGGAAAACCCCACAACCTGTGTCTGTTCCTAAACGCAGTCACAGCTACGTGTTACTGAGGGACTAACAGTGTGCTCCCAAGAATAATTGCTGTTGGGACACTTGTAGTCGCGATTCTCCTGAATTTTAGTCTCTCATTTTAAACACAAGGAGAAGTGGTAACAAATGTAGCGGTGGGAAAAAGTGGCATTTTCTGCTTGATGGCACCGAGTCTGCTCAGTGGAATACACGTGCATAATCTTCTCTTCAATTCAGTTGTCTCTGAAACAATCTCCGTTTTGAAGCAAAATAGGTTTAGTGATGCAAATATTGAGTCCTTTTCAAAATTGGCATGGAGAAACAGGTTCTTTGTGTTCTCTCTCAAAATAATCGATTAAAAATAATAAAAATTGCTTCTTGAAACCCCCCTCTCTTGCCCACCGACAGGAAACAATTCACGTGTCCAGGTAACACGTGTTTTCCTTAGAGTCCTGTGCCTGTTTTGACACAAAAGTGCAGTAAAACCTAATCGTTTTTGAAGGGGTGTATATTCATTTTAGTTGTAAACCCAGGCTTGTTCTCAGAGTGTCTGTGCTATAAAATTCACAAAGTGTCGATCAGCTTTTGGAGTACGCAGCACCTACAGGGCTGAGTGAGGTACTGACGGGGATCTTGGGTCTTTCAGACTGAGTGACTTCTTATATCTTCCTCGCTTTCCCGAAAGAAACAAGCCACTTCGTTTTTCTCAAAGACAATTAAAAAACCCCCAAACTGTGTATCTTTTAGGAACTGTCTCACTTGAACTTCCCTTTTTTTCTGACCTATGGGACACCAAGGCGCATGCTGGAAATAAGGCATTTTGTTTATAGGGCTGCAGAGGCTCTAGCATTGATGTTCACAGAGGACTCCTGTCAGTGATCTACTATTTTATTTCTGGGTAATGATAATCCCCCTGGGGGAACACGTTCTGATCCTTACAAGCTAAGGACATTAAGATTTAATTTTTCATTTTAGATGTCTGCAGTTACCATTTGGGTTAATAAAAGATGTTACTTCACCTGTGAAGTTTCTTTAAGCAAAGTGAGTGGAATCTTCAAAAGCTTTTTGGATAGGTTTTGCAGTTGGTGACAAGTCAGGGTCCTTGTGATTTAGGCAGAGGAGGGAAATGCACCTCTTGTTTTAATCTGGCTCTTTCTTCGGAATTCTTTCAGGTTTATTGCCAAGCCATGTGCCGTAAACCTTGGCATTCAAGACAGTGGACCTCACAGAGCCCAGCCCAATGCAATTTTAGAGAAAGTGTTTACATCCATCACTAAGGTGAGTCATGCTTCAAATTCTGCTAGAAATGGAGTGCTATAAGTAAGGGGGGGGGTGTGTGGGGGTGTGTGTTACTTCCACTTTTCTAGTTCAGGAGAAATGCATTTCACACTGTGCATGCACAGTGAGTGTGCTTGTTCTTGTTTTACTTTGCCTCTGGCATGTCCTTCTTGTAGCAAAGTAAATTCTCTTGATGGCTGACGGATGCTTCGAGCACAGAATCTTTTTTTTTTTTTTTAGTAAAAAAATGTTCTCTTTAGAAAAGGACGAGGCTTCTTCCTTTAGTTCCCTGCCTTTGTCCAAACTGTAACTCCTGTAACAGGTGGTAGTTCTTGGTTTAACAAGAAACTTCCCAGTATCTCTCACTTTCTATTGGAAAAGTGCTACCCTTTTCCTTGAGATCTCTTCCTTTGCTGGTTTTATTGGCCAGTCGCGTGAATGCTTTCCTCCTGTTTTTGCCACCTACTGTGGAACTGGACAATAGCTGTCACAGTGGAACTCAGTTATTTAAGGAAAGTGTTCAGTTAATGCAAGTGCACCCTGATAAAGGGTAGGATATTTAATGCTGGCAGTAGGTGTTCCTTGTGATTGTGTCGTGGCCTTTCTTTCACTGAAGCTGACAGTGCTCCTTCACTTCGGAGGTTACAGAATTCCACACCATCCCCTGCTGACTGTTGACAGGGGAATCCACGCAGACAGCATGATAGATTTTCGTTAAAGATAATGAAATGGAAGGTTTTATGTTCTGGTGGTGCTGAACTTCATTCTGAGTGGAGCAGATAAAGTGCTTAGGGAATGGAAGGGAAATTCGGTAAAAGCCTTTCTAAAGCTCGCCTCACGGGATCGTTAACGTTTTGAGGTATTTGGAACGACGGGTGAACTGAAAAGTCCCTGTGATTTGATGCTGTTTGTGGGGAGGACTTTTATGTAGGGGATGTCCTTGAAATTAAAGTTTAGGAAACCCATGAGGACGCATGCTGTGCAAAATTTATCTAGCTTATGGAAACTGTACCAATATGCTTGGGTCTGCTGGTGGGTTTGGAGAATCAGAATGTAGGGCGGCTCTGATGCAGGGGAAAGATTTCACTGCTGTTCTGACATCGGAGCCCTGTAAGTTCTCCTTTGGGGTAGGTTCACTTCCAATGCAGAAGTGTCAGGTAGCCCGAGCTGTTTAAGCCTAGTGGGGTGCGGAGAGACCTGGTTGTGATGGAATTACAGGAAAGTCATAGTCTCCGTGCTGAAAAATCAGTGACAGATGGTTTTGCTTTTCAGTTGAACAGTCTGGTGACTCTTTTTATTAAATCAGCATTCTGCATAGTTTTTTGGGTTTGTGTGTAACGCCAGTAGTAAAATGTGTTTATCATCTTTCAGTTGTAAGAGCTCCCTGGCAGAGCTTGTTAAAAGGACACTGGTCTGAAACTAACGTGGCTTATCTCACCACTGGGCCATTTTAGAGGTAGTTATCAGGTTTTGTTCACTTTGTCTCTTATAAATCCATTTATGTCATTATTCAAACAAACAAACTGCCAGTAGAGTTTCCAGTCAGAGAACAGTGATATATTCTTTATTATACAACCATTTCAGTTTTCAAATTTAATTTTACTTATAAACTTTGATAACGGAAATAGTGCCATCTCTATGATACCCTTTTGGAATATCTAGCGTGTTAAACCAACTCTTACTTTTAAAGTTTCCCTAAACTTGCAGTGAGTAGCAACTCTTTAACATATTCAGCTTTGATCTTCCTGAGTTCTGGGCTGTTTGGATTGATGTGCAAGTTTTAACAGGTAGGACAGGACATTTTAAAAGCTCCTTCCCCCAAATTAAGAAACAGAACAATTGCATTCTTTGTCGTAATGTGCTGTCAAATGATGAGGAAATGTTAAACCAAAAGCATTCTGAATAATTAAGTAATTAGTGGCTTATGAAGGTTAAAGTGGAATGAACATTTGTGGCAATGGGTTCCTGCTTCTAGCCTATAAGTAGTGCCTTCCTCGTGTGTGGTTTTTGATATCTGTGCATCACTTCTGTCATAGTACAGAGGGGATCTCAGAGTGAAAGCAGGTTGAGAAGTAGGAGAAATGACACTTGTTTCATTTTCCTTCAGTCTCCAGATGGAAAAAGGTTAGAAGGCTTGTCAAAGCAGCTAGACTGGGATGTTCGAAAGATCCAGCGCTGGTTTCGTCATCGGAGGAACCAGGACAAACCCACCACCCTCACTAAATTTTGTGAGAGCATGTATGTTTGTGCAGAGGCCAAGATGTGGCTTCATCTTAAAGCTCCAGCTGTATGTTCTCTTTTCTAACTGAAACTGTGGTCAGCTGCTAAACTGGTGTCTTGGGGTTGGCTGGTGCAAGATAAATTCTTATACAAGCGAATGAAAGAAGTCAGGAGGGAGGGCTTTTTAGAATTTAGTATTCTAAACTATTTTGTGTGTGTGTACGAGAGACCAGAACACACGTACAGGAGCTATTCCTGTCAACAGTGAGCAGCTTTAGATAGCGGACCAGGTCCTTCATGCAAACGTAGCACTTCAGTGTGCACACGTGTGCACAACTTGAGTAGTTACACTGAAGACAAGTCTCCTGGCTGCACAGTTACGTTGTAGACGAGTGTTTGTTCCCAGACAGAACGACCTTATGGCTTACACAATGTTGTATATACTTTTATACAGACACTTCTTGGATTCCTGTTCTTTTCGTTTCAGTTCATTCTTTTGTTCTTTGTTTCTTTCTGAATGCTTGCAGTTATCTCTGTTAGTCTGGTAGCATCTGAATATTTTTTTCCTGACTTGTTATTTCTTCTGTGCTGGTTTCTTCCCTTTCCAGTAACTTCCTTCATATTAATTCTTCCCCCCAGTATGGTTTTGTCTACTTAAAGCCACAAGGTAAGAGGGACGAATAGTACATTAGGATACCTTCTGGATAACAATGACTTATCTTGTTACTGTCTGTTAAAGCATATGAATGATGCATGTTCACTCTGAAATTTATTTCAAACTTTGCTGTTGATGCAAACTCGTGTGTGGTGTGAAAGCCCTTAAATAGGTTTATCCTTACATGAAATGTGCACAAATGAAGGATTACCATTTGGTGGGTGAAAGCTTTTCAGGTGTCAGAATTGGGTTTATTCACAATTGTTCCAGTCTTTGTTACAAATGTTAACCAGAAGCTATTTCTATTTCCTAAGTTTAATTTTTGCTTCTTTTTCCAGGTGGAGATTTACATTTTATTTAAGTATATTTTTTTATGGAATCAGGTTTCTCTGGACGGTGAGTTGATCTGTCATCCCCCCTGTGTTGCTCTGTGTGCCGTGCAGCTGGGTTATGGCTCTTCCTGCTGCAATGTAGGAGGCTTGACTACCTGTCTCACTTCTTCAGTGCTTGCACCTAGCTTAAAACAAGGGGGGGTCAGTGGCGATAGTCATCTTTCTGTGGAGATGGATCTCTTCGGGTCTTTGTTATTATTAGATAGAGCTGTATGATTATGCTTTGAATTTCTATCGCAGTAAAACTTGCCTTTGACTGCAGCAAGAACATTTTAAATCACTAGGGTGCTTGACAATAGATCTAGCTTGGATGATAGAATCAAGATAAAATTTCAGTGCAACAGTGCTGCAGTGGTCAACTGCCTTAGGTGATAGGGAAGAAAAAACCCAGTAGAAAAATAACTTGCCTTTTTCCCTTTAGGCACCCTGGTTTTGGGACACACGACAGTGCTGGTACAACTACCCTTTTCAGGTAGGAGATAAACGTTACTAGATTCCACCTTTTTGCACAATTTCAGCTGGTATTTTGTTAGCAATAGCAGATTGAAACTCAGTAGACTCGAGCGCCTCTCGTTATTCTGCGGGGTGGGCGCTGCAGAGGTGGCAGCCTGGTGAGCTTTCAGGGGAGCGAATGGCCATCCCTTTTGGCAGGCACGAAGGTGGCATTGACTCTGTATGCCTTCAGATCCTGGTTAGGTTTGTCAATAGCCGTGTTTCCTCAGAACTGACTCGGTTCATATTCATTTTATGTGTACTTGCTGCTGAGATTATTAAAAGTGGAGAAAAAAAATAGGCATAACATTATACTGGTAACTTATTTACGGTGGTGTTTTCGTTCTGCAGCAGGCATGACTGTGTAGAGGCCAACCAGCCTGTTTCAGTGCCTGGTTTTCCTAACCCAAGAGGCTGCAGTATGAGTTGTAAATATTGACAAGGGAATCTTACTCCTTTTGAATAAAGCTCGAACACACGAGTATGTTTGTGTGACTAAGCCTAGAGTAAGAGGTCTGTTGCTTAAGCTTGTTTTTACTAAATCTTAATTCTGAGTCTTTTAACTTATGCCTCAGTATTCTGGAGGAACAGAGTGGGATGGGAAGGAAGGAAAAAGTTGATTTTCATGTAAATTTTAAAGAACTTTGTCTTCTAACTGTGCTATCTTTCTTTGTTTTCCAGCCTCTAACGTCCAGGCTTTATTATTACTATATCTTGGAGCTGGCCTTCTATTGGTCTCTCATGTTTTCTCAGTTTACAGACATTAAACGGAAGGTGAGATTAACCAGAATTGCACTCACCGCTTCACTAAATAGATAGGACTAACAAAAAATGAGTGTGCCTGGCCAGTAAAGCTGAAGCATAGCAAGAACTGTGTTGGCTTCCTCATTTGCATCTGTGTAGGCTGCCTCCTTCTGTAATCACTACCGGGTCCTGGGGAGGAGGGAGGAGCAAGCCTGACATGCAACCTGGTATATCCTTGAGATTCCCTTTCACCTTCCAGAGGAAAGAACAGAATCACTCAATACCTTCCAATAAAAAGTTATCAAATCATTGCATAAAAATAGATTTAATTAGAAGAAAACATGGAAATGAAATGCTCAAAGCAGTAACTTGCTGAGTCAGGTGAGAAGATGGCAAACACTAAAGCAATAATAAATGGGGTTTTTTGAAAGTGATTTTTCATCTCTGTGCGTAGCAGAACGAGGACTGGTTGCGATTGCCGGAATCTAATTCCGTTGCCCTACGTTCTAGGATTTGCTTATTGTTGCTGTTGGAAAACAGTTCATAGTAAATCATGGTTTATTGCTCCTGTTACACAAACTGCAAAGTAGCAAATTATCCCAATTCTTGTGCTGACTGTTCAAAAAGAAAAATTTGCCTGGGATTTCTGTCTGTACTGAAATATTAGCAGGTGAGGCACTAGAGAGTATCTTGGAGCTGCAGAAAGGGAGTGCTTAACAGCATCTGTGGTACTGTTCATAATGTTTAATTCTGTACTCTGACTTTAACAAGGTGGATTACATTCCCCACTGCAAGCACGGGAAGGTACATTGACATGGAAGCGTCGTACCCAGGGGGCTGAACTGGGAAACAGCCCTGAATGCGTGTGCATTGTAACCGTGTTTTTAATGAAGGGGCCTAGTGGTTGTTGTGGGGTTATCTTGTGTCCTGTGCCTGCTGTGCTCTGGCAGGCATTTGCACACTGACAACAGTGACAGCAGCGTACTTAAATTTGTGCCAAGAGCTGAAAGGACTTGCAGTATGACTGTGAAACCAAAAGGAGCCAAAAATAAGGGCGATAACGTTGTTCCTGTCAGTCTTTTCAGTGGGGTCTGTGGGCGTTCTTCCCTTTACCTTGCGTGTGTGTGCCAAAGAGACACTGCTGAGTGCGTGTCTGTGCAGAGCTCTGACTCCGCAGGAGCACAAATGCTGGGAGAGACCTTACTGGAACCGTTCGTGGTGATGGCTGGTGTCGTGTGATGAGCTGTGCTTTATACAAAGTGGAGTCGGAGCCTGAACTGAAGTAATCCTGTGGCCCCAGTTAGTCAGCTGGGTGGCTCTGTTCCAAACCTTTCTGTTTGTTTGACAGCCAAAGAGTCTTCATTTTTTTTTTCTGTTTCCAGGACTTCCTGATCATGTTCGTCCATCATTTGGCTACGATTGGACTCATTACATTCTCTTACATGAATAATATGGTGCGGGTTGGAACTCTGGTGCTGTGCCTCCATGATGCATCAGATTTCCTTTTAGAGGTGAGTTTCCTTTCAAATTTTTGTGTATCTAATGCTAATGTGGTCTCGGGGGAGCAGGCTGACTCTCCCGTTCTTGACAAACTGCATTAAATATGCCGTAAAACTCACGCTGCTGATCCTGCCTTGTCAGCTTTTCCTCATAACTGCTTTAATGCTGAGAATAATCCCTAAATGTTCCAAACTCCTTATAAATGTGATGGCTTGAGGGTTTTTGAAGCTCTACAGCCTGGTAATTACATGAGTGCACAAAGGGAATGATATTCTCATGTTTCTTGTCTCTTTTAGGCTGCAAAGCTAGCCAATTATGCCAAGTACCAACGTTTATGTGATGCTTTCTTCATGCTTTTTGGTGTCGTATTCATTGTTACACGGTTGGGCATTTATCCTTTCTGGTAAGCACCTTGAGCTGTAAGGTCTTGTTTGTTCTTCCAAACCTTTAAGCAAAGCCTTTGTATTTAGGTTCCTTGCAATCATTCCAGCCTGTCCCTCAAGGCAGCCTGAAGTTGCAGACAGCCCCCGTACTGTTTGGAGCAGTACGTTCAACCGGGCCTGTGAAGGAACCTCTCCACAGTCAGCTGAGGGAGTGTGGGAAGCGACTGGAATCCTAATGCACAGCTGCCCCTCTCTTACTGCAAAGTGATGACAGTGCTCGTTAGCTGGAGCCCAGACAGCCGGTGCCTGCTCTGAGGGACTCGAAGGGTTCTTTGCTTCCCTTAAGAAGTTTCGGAAATAGTTACAAACGAGGCTGAGGCGTGGTTTCTTGGGGAAAAGTTGATTTTTGAGTATCTGGCTTAGTTGTCGTTAAGAGTTCCTGATTCTTATGACACTCGTGCCCTGTCATTGGGTCATGACTGTTCAGAGCCTGAAATAGGTCTTGAGTTTCTTGGGAGGTAAAACCCTGGCTAAATGGCTTATAGCTCATCATCCTATAACGAGATTCCCTCTTGCCTCAAGAGGCTGGGCTTGGTGAGGTTCTCTTGATGAGCTGTTACCCACCTCTTGTTTCTGTTGAAAGAGTGAATTTGGTTACGCCTGATTATTAATCAGTTTATTTTGGTTTTACTGCGTATATTTATTTCCTAGGCAATGGACAGCTTGCATCCCCGTTCCTTTAGGGTGCCCTGACGGTCGGCAGAAACAATACTGGCGTGTTGGTATCAGGGTTGCAATTAAAGCTCTTGCTTGTTTTCCAGTAAATGCATCAAGGGAGTCTGGATAAGGCAGAGCTTTAATTCTTACGTCTTCATAGGCTCCTTCCAGTGACAGATGAGATAGCTGACATTGTTTTTATTGCTGTTGTCTGTCATGAGGTGATGCTTTTGCATCATGCTGTTGCTCAGCAGTCCTGTAAATTTTTAATGTATTTTCCACTGGCTGAAATGTAATTCCTCAACTTTGTAGAGAAATCTGGCAGGCTTGCAGTGGTATTGCAGACCCTATGCTATTTCACTTCGCCTATATTCCCTTCCCTAATTAGTATAAAACCTCAAGAGATCTCTGGAATTGCATTCAATTCATCTATAAACTGGCTACGAGTTAGATGTTTCTGCAGCTGCATTTTGGGGGACTTAGGCTCTTCTTTAAAAGGCTTGTTTTTCTTTTCTTGTGAAACGTTAAAAGCTGTGTGAAATTAATGACATCTTTAAAGGTCTCTCCATACCTCTCTACTTCATAAAATCTAAAGTGTTTATTAAGTTTCTTAAGTACTGGCAATAACTCCCAGCGACAAGAACAACAAAACAGTAATGAAAGAGAGCACAAAGCTTTGTCCATAAAGCTGTTTCTAGTCCTCCAGCTTGGCAGGAGGAATCTATAAAACTCTGAGGGAAGAGAATAGCGCACAGGGAGGGAGGCCTACTGGGAGCAAAATTCCTTCCTGATCTTTAAGTATGGGTGAAGACTGCCCAAGTATGAACGTGTTAACGGTTGTTTTGGTGACCAGTGTGCAGCTTGACATCACTTCCTGTAAAGTTGTTAGAAATGCTCGTGCTTTTGAGAAGGAAGTTGGCAGCAGATCTGTGTGTGTAACCGAGTTGCAGAACGTTCGCATCTTCTCCTGTTTGTTGCTCAGTTCAAATGTTTCTAATTAGCTTTAGTCTGTCTCCTGACTCTGGCAAGAGACTAGCTGCCTCGCCGCTCTGACAGGAGCAAAGCAGCAGATGCTTAAATGAGCCACAAACTGTTGTGCATCTGGCCACTCATCTCAATTTGGAGCTGGAAGCCATGTCACCAGCACAGCCGGTCTGTAACGTGTTTCTGGATCTCTTTTAGGATTTTGAATACAACCCTATTTGAAAGCTGGGAGTTGATCGGTCCTTATCCTTCATGGTGGCTCTTCAATGGGCTTTTGATAACCTTGCAGATCTTGCATATCATCTGGTCTTATCTCATCATTCGCACTGCCTACAAGGCCCTCGTGCGAGGAAAGGTAAGATTGCTGGTGACTCCTTGGGGTCCTCTGTCCTACAAGCCCTGTTAAGCGATCGTGAGAACCTGGGCCCTTCAGTGAGGGCTGGTACTCGCTCTGGAGGGCTTGCATCAGGAGTGCTTTGCAGAAGGGCAGGTTTTTCACCTTGGTGGCCCTGCAGACTCGAGTTGCCAGGCGTATGCGAAGGCAGGGATGCTTTCCTCTCTGTCCTGGTTATTTCCCTGGCAGGGAAATAACACCCTTTTCCAGTACATTCCGATGTTGTAATCATGGTGATGATGACAGACCGGTTAGGTACTTTGGAGTTTAAGGTGGTGGTAGGCTCATTTTGAACAATCATACAGGATGTTTTCCAGCTTCAGCTGGTGCTTGGGATGGGACGGGGGTTATGCATCTTCCACTTGTTAGCACGGACAGAGGCTTCTGGCTGTCAGTGCAGGCCAGGCATTGCAGCAGGCGGGGGAGAAGGGGTTATCAGGAATGCAGTGGGGTTTGCTGGCTGTCACTGGGCTGATGGGGTGCCGTTTAGCTTCTGTCCTAATTTTAATTTGTGTGGGGAATCTTAGGGAGAAGGAGGGTGAAACTACAGCAGCTGGTTAGCAACAGGTCTTGCCCTAAGAGTGAACAATGCTCGCTTTTGGCTGCGACCTCCGTTGCCAAGCAAAAAGGTGTAGTTCAGCTGAAGTGCCATGAGACAGGGGAAGCCCTGAGATGGGGCTAGGAACTCATTTGACACCCAGCCTACCCGTCAAGAGAAGCCACTTCCTTTGCAGCTACCAGAGAGCAAGAGCTGATTTTGTAGCACAAGTGATTATTTATTTATTTATTTAATCAGATCTTTGGTATTCTGATCTGAGTTTCTCTCATGGCTCTACTGTATTTTGTGTTTGACTTCTTAGCTGCCCCTACATGTGGAATGTAACTCTGAAAAATATTTATATCGTAGTCGTCTGTGGCAGCGATTGTCAGGGGAAGGCATGTTTGGAGTACGCACACAATCTTTTCATCTGTTCCCCACAGCTGCCACTGCAAATGTCTTATTTTCTGTCTCTGCAGCTGTTTCTGTATCCTGAGGTCTACATCTTTTTTCCTTCCCTTGGTTCTCTCCTGTCCAGGTGACCTAGCCAGGGAAAGGACTCTAAGCTCTGTCTTCTTCATTCTTTTCTCCTTTTCTCTGTGCCAGATTGGAGCTGGACAGTTTCATCCTTTGCATGTAAGTGTGATCTGCGCTTCTGTTTGTTCACTGAACTGCACCTGGGTCTGTTTCAAGGCTAAGACAGAAGCGGAGCTGTGGTCTTGGGGCTTTAGATGGCTGCTGCCTTCCTTAAAATCTTTCTCTGCCTGGTTGATACAGTGCTGGTTATGACAGTATGCTAAAATGCGGGTTTTTCCAAAGGTCAAAGCAGTATCTTGGGGTTTGTTCTTATCTGCTGTCAGCTGGCTGCATGACCTTCACCTTTCTGCTTTTATACGCCCACAGAGACTCTGATATCTGTCTTTAGTGCTCATTAGCACTGTGCTGAGGGGAAAAGGACGGGAGAAATGCAATGCTTTGTGTGAAAAGGACTAGAACAGTCACTTGTCCCCCAAATAATGGGAAAAATTTCGAGGGATTTCTGCTTCCTTCCAGTGACGCTTTGAACTTCCAACAGAGCAGGAGAGTGGGCAAAGATATCAAAAGTTCTGGCAACAGACAGAAGCCAGGACATCCAAGAGGCCTGTCAAAACCAATCTTGGAGATCATTAACTTTACCTGGCTTTCTGCCAGACCTTCCCTGGAGTTCAAAAACTTCCTGCTGGTGCTGTAACCCTGCCTCAAAGCAAGCAGAGCAGAATGAAATCCTCGGCGAGGTGCTGGCCGCAAGGCGCTCGCGCATTGAGGAGACGAGGGCTGTTGGTTGCCCTGGGGTGGGCAAAGCAGGGCCGTAGCGCAGCGACTGCTCGGCACAGCCGAGGTCTCGGCTCTGGCACCCCGCCACCAGCCAAGGTGCTTGTTTGCAGTTGGGGCCAGGCTTGCGATCTCTTCCCTTCCCCTGCTGGCGCGGTTGGCTCGGCGGCGCCGGTGCAGTGCCCTCCCGCGGCACTCGGGGCAGCCGGCAGCGACTGCGCCCGCGTCTGCTTCCAAATCGCATGGACGGATCCAATTCGGCCGGATTTGCAGTCAAAAGGTGTAACTCTGTAAAGCAGACCTGGATTTCTGGGCCGAGATGCTCCTTCTGTTCCTGAACGGGTGTTTGCTGGATTAGATTGTTGTCTCTGCTCAACAGCCCATTGTCCAAACAGGCCTTTGCTTGTAAAAAAGTTCTCATAAGCAGTGAAAATGGGAAGCACTTTGTGCAAACAGCAATGTGATAAATATAGCTGGTTAATCTTTAAAATACCAAAGCCACTCCCTATAGGACAAAATGTTCCCTCTAAAACTGATATAACACATGGGGTTTGGTCATTGTACCCACTGATGATTATGGTGCGAGAGGTTTTTCGATTCGAAACAAATTTGTTGCTTGGAAAAGCAGCGTTTAGCCAATCTAGAATGCAGCTCTTGGAAGACAAGAGCAACCAAAGATCTAGGGTGTCCTCCGATCTGGGGAGAGCAAAAAGAGTGGGGTGCTTTCACAGACGCACAGAGTGTTTGGAAAATGGAACTCGTATTTCCAAATTGTCATTTTCTGTGTCTGTGTGTGATGACAGGTTCCTCGTAAGTTTGAAGTGATTCGGGATCAAATGTAGAAGGGAAATGTAACTGACTCAAGCTGGTTAATGGCATGGACACCACCTTCTAACTACTGTTTTCTGTGATTTTTTTTTTTTTTTTTTTTTTCAACTTCCCTTCTCCCCTTCCCACTACGAAATTTCATTTGAAATGTTTAGGTATCAAAGGATGACCGCAGTGATGTAGAGAGCAGCTCTGAAGAGGAGGATGTGACTTCCAACAGCACAAAAGGAGTTTTCAGCACTTCCAGTAACGGCTCCAACCGCGCTAACGGCCATGTGGCTAGTGGCCAGTGGACAGAAGAGTAAGGCTGTGGGTTGGCCTTGAGCAAACACGAACTTATCTTTAAATATCTAGATGTGTTGAGCTCCACATTCCCAAGTGATCTTTAATCAAGATACCCCTTCCCCAGAAACCTCCAGCAAATCTGAAATGGGCACAATCCAGGCCAGTCAGAGGCTTTGCACAACCGAAGGGATATAAAGCCCATAACTAGGGCAAAAACAAAGCTGCAGATTTCACCTTAAGCCATTTTGTACTCAAATCTTAGTCCCATCGATATTTGCAGAGGTATCCTTGTTTGTGACAAACTGGTTTTTACTAGGATCGACTCAAGGCAGAGTGAGTTTGGACTGGGCGGGCTGGCGACCACAGGAGGGTGACGGTGCCGTTGCAGTGACGGTTTGCTCCAGCGCAGGTTAAATCTCCTCGATGCACTCCTGGAGCCGCTGACGAGCACGGAGAACGCAGGGTCCCGTGGCTCCGCGTCCCAGCTCCCCTGGCTGTAGCAGAGACTCTTTTTCTCAGTCCTGCTGCGAGCGCTCTGGGCTACAGCCAAGCCTTGAGTTGGACTGTGCTCCAACAGAAACGTTGTTCTAACTTGCCTTCGGGGTGCTGTCTGCTGAGGTTACAGCTTCTATCTCTGCTGTCACGAGGGACCAGGCCAGCGTTTGCTGCCTATTTTGGTGCTGCAAGCCCCTCTGAAGTCTTGACTACAGCCTTCTGAAATGGGGGAGGGGGGTTGTTTATTGCTCCTAAGACAACTGTCACAATACATGCCTTTTAAATTTTTTTTTTTTTTTTTTTCTGTTGCAAGTTGTGGTTTTGAAGATGTTTCTAGACCTACAGTTGGCTAAGCTGGGACTTGAGCTGAGGGCGGACCAGTACTGGTGGGCTGTGTTTAACTTTCCACAAAATAAGATGTTTTGGTCCTGCTTGTCTGTACTCCCAGACAGAACTGAATGTTGCTGCTCTCATTTTGCAACTGTGTGGAAGAATCACTGGGCTGGAAAGGCAGCCACACCACAGGCTTTGCTTCTTTTTTGTTTTGTTGTTTTTTGGGTTTTGTTTTTTTTTTTTTTTTACTCAATGGTACTTGGGGGCAATGGAAGACCAATGTGTCAATCGTGAGCTGAATTTTGGAAACTTCTCGACTTGTTACCATTTTATACTCTTATCTCCGATTAAAAGATGCTTCAGAAACTGGGTTGACACGTTTGATCTTGAGAGAAAAAAAAAAAATTCAAGGATGGGGTCTGCCCCTTCTCAGTGATCCTGCCTGCTGCTGGCCCAGGTCCTGCCTCTCAGAAGCCCCTTTTTAAGACCCCCAGGGAGCTGCTGCGGGCCGAGGCGGGCAGACACCACGCACCACCACGCTCGGGCTTTGTCACACCGTTTTTATTGCGCGCCATCTCCCCGGGACCCCGGGTGGGGGGTGGGGGT